ATTGTGTGCGCGCGACTTGTTCAGATGCACAAGACCATCACCGCTTTGGCAGAAAGCACCAGATTCCCGCAGTACAACATTGCGGAGGGATACCAGAACCGGCCCTTGGGCAGAAGCAATATGACTGCGGAGATTTTGATTGAGCAATGGAAGCTCTATCTAGTCATGGCATGTACCACCGTTACCAGTGTGGGTGCTCAATCCCAGAGCCAGCTGGCAAATGCCCAGCATGCACGCAAAGCCTCTAAGGGTGCCCAGCAGTCCCAAGACAAGATCAGCTCGGCTCGAAGTCTTTTTGCTTTCGTTATCCCCTTGCTTTCTGCCGAGCGAGACTCGATCAGAAATGCAATCGTTGTGGCCCTAGGGTCGATCCACAAGAATCTCTACCGCACTCTTCTGGAATCCTTGCAGTACGCAGTAACCACTTGCAATGAGGAGGCCAAGATCAGAATTGGCACCCATTACCGCACCCCTAGCAGTCCTCGACGAAACAGGAAGACCGACCGGCTGCGGACCGAAGTCACCCATGTCTACAAACTCACCTCACATTTCCTCCAAGAACCGGAAGTCTACAACGACGACTGGATCGTCAACAACCTTGTCACATATGCCAAAGACATCAGGATTTTCCTCAGTGATGCAGAGGTCCAGAATGACTGGGAGTTCCAGCGCTTACGATTTCATTACTGTGGGCTGATGGAGGAGCTGTTCGAAGGCATCAACCGTACCAAGGATTCATCTCGCTGGATGCCCTTTGAGTCTCGCAAATCTTCGTTCTCTCTGATGGAGGATTGGTGTGGCTATTCTCCCAACCAGGCACAGATCTCCGAAAGAGAAGAGAACATGCGCAAGTTTTCCGTAGCTCAGCCACATGAAAGTGGGGAGACGCGTAACACCGCTGCTGGTATGGAGATTGAGAAAAAGAACCTGCGGGCTGCTGCTTTGAGTACCATGGCGTCTCTCTGTGTAAGTGTTGGCTTTTTGCAACTTTGACAAACGTCCTACTAACTTCAATAGGCTGGCCCGATTAGCATCACAACCGAAAGTGGCTCTGTCCTTCAGTTCGATGTTGGCCGCATGCTTTCATGGATTGACATCATTTTCAACACTGTCAGCGACAAGTGGCACTCGATCGGCCGACGGGCCCTTAAAAACTTGATCGTTCATAACAAGGAACACACTTACCTGATGGAGCGATCAATCGAGATGTGCTATGTGACGGAACGGCCGAAGGCCCTGGAGAGCTACTTCGAGGTAGTGACTGAGGTGCTCATTGAGCATCCAGATTACAACTTGCGATTCTGGCGAATTTTGGGAGCCGTCTTGGTGACTCTCGGCAACCAAAAGCGCGAGATCCGCATGAAGTCTGCTAAACTCCTCCGAAGACTCGAGGAACGCCAGCAGAAGAGCTCCAGGATTCAAGACTTTGATATCAGCATTTCCGACAAAACTACGGCGGTGTACAAGCTCGCTCAGTTCGAGACCTCCAAGCGACTGGCAAAGCAACATTCCGATCTGGCATTTACGCTCTTCTCTGAGTTCTCTCTGCACTTCAGAAACCTTCGACCAGACAGTCAGCGAAATATGGTTGCCGCCATTCTGCCCTGGGTCCAAACCATGGAGTTGCAGGTCGATTCGAATGGAGGACCAACGGCCAAATCGTACATGCTTCTTGCGAATCTCTTTGAGATTACGATTCGCTGCAGTAATATTTTGCCGAACCAAGTGCAAGCATTGTGGCAAGCCCTGGCGACTGGCCCCCACGGCGGGAACGTACAATTGGTCCTCGACTTTATTATCAGCCTGTGCTTGGAGCGCAAGGAACAGAACTTTGTGGAGTACGCCAAGCAAATTGTGGTATTCCTGTCAGGCACTCCGGCCGGGTCGAAGGTCATTGAGTTCTTCTTGATGCAAATCATGCCCAAGAATATGGTGCAAGAGCGGAAAGACATCAGCCCCGCTCCTCCAGACACCAAGAGCCTCCCTTATGTTGCGGACCTGGGCACGGTACTCCCCGTTGGAAACAAATCAGCAGGTCTTTCTCTCGGCCAGGTAGCTCTCATATTCCTGGTGGATCTCATGGTTGCTCCCGTTACCCTTACCCTCAACGATGTTGTCAAACTTGTTCATGTCGTCCTCATCCTTTGGGATCACTACACCGTTACAGTGCAGGAGCAGTCTCGTGAGATGCTGGTCCATCTAATTCACGAACTGGTCGCAGCAAAGCTTGAGGATGATGCCCCCATAGGCGCCCGGCAATCCATCGAGGATTTCGTCGAGTCAATCCGAAAGAGCGACCCCGGCGTTGTTTGGGAATATGAGGAGAACCACGGCAAGGAGGAAGAAGACGAGGACCGAAGTGTGCCGACCTCCATGGCTGCGGTTTCCCGGATGGTGGTCCAGTTCTTCGGCTTTGCATACGAGGGCGTCGGCGACTTGTGGGCGAAAGAGGCCTTGAATTGGGCGACCTCGTGTCCCGTGCGCCATCTCGCCTGCCGCTCATTCCAGATCTTCCGCTGCATCTCAACCTCCTTGGATTCACGCATGTTGGCCGATATGCTTGCTCGACTTTCGAACACGATCGCCGACGAGGAGTCGGACTACCAGACGTTCTCGATGGAGATTCTCACTACATTGAAGATCATTATCAGCTCCTTGTCACCGTCGGATCTGTTGCACTACCCTCAACTATTCTGGACAACTTGCGCTTGTCTGAACACGATTCATGAAACCGAGTTCATTGAAAGTATTGGCATGCTGGAAAAGTTCTTGGACCGGATTGACTTGAGCGATCCCGGCGTGGTGAAGCAGCTGATGGAAAGCCAACCGCCCAAGTGGGAGGGCGGCTTCGATGGTCTCCAGGACTTGGTCTTCAAAGGTCTCAAATCATCCGAGTCTTTCAACCGCACATTGGATCTTCTTCATGTTCTAAGCGGGCTTCCGAACAACGAACTCATCGGTGACGGGACTCGGCAGTTGTTCACTGTATTGTCCAATCTTCCCCATTTCCTGCAATGTTTCGAGCAGGACTTCAGTGATCCCAAACCTATTATGCGGGCCAGCCTCCTGGCCCGCGTGGCGGAGAATGAGCGGTGTCCTCGCCTTGCAGCGTCCCTGTTTGGGTTCGCAAACCAGCAGTACAAGACGGCCGGCGTCTTTCTGGATCACATCATCACCGAGATCAAGTCTTACTATTTCCCACAATTGGACTTCCAATGCCTCATCTTTCTCATGGGCCTTCTGACCAACTCTACGGATTGGTTCCGAGTCAAGACGATGAAGATCCTCTGTGTCTTGATCCCGGAGGTGGATATGCGCCGAACGGAGGTCACATGTCATGGTCCTGATTTGATCTCCCCGTTGCTGCGACTTCTCCAGACCGATCTCTGCCCTCAAGCCCTGGAAGTTTTGGATCACATCATGACCGTCGCCGGCAATCCGATGGAGCGCCATCACCTCCGGATGAGTATGGCTTCGGCTACCTCTTCTCGGGCTATCCGTAAAGAGTACGAGCGGATCCAGAGTCTGTACGGCATTCCTGAACCCACGGGCTGGTCGGTCCCCATGCCTGCAACCCAGTCTAGCCAGACGCGCAATAACGTCCATGCTGTGTTCTACACTTGTGCCGAGGCCGATGACATGAGCGCCCCAGAAACCATGACGCCCGACGTGGAATTCTTCCGGGCGGACAGATACAGCGATTCTTTCTTCCCCATGCGAGCCGATACCATGAAGTCGATTGACACACAGACGGATGGCAACATGGGCGATATTGTCCAAAAGCTAGATAGCTTGGACGACTTCTTCGACGAGACAGAGCCGACTGGCCCTCCTCTTCACCACATGGCTCCTCCCATGCTCCGCGGGTTCACCGGCACTTACGTGGACACCAATGCACATCTCTACGACCAGCAGACCGCCCCGATTCTGCGCAAGTCACTCGCCCGAACGGGCTCCACCTCTTCCTTCCACAATGGCCTCGCCGAGTCGCGACCTCCCAATTTCCGCTTCGACAGTTCGCACTCTACCGCGACAGCGCCCCCCAGCTCCTCCGCACAACAAACCATACGTCCTGTCTCCCATATCCGGTCTGTGACTTCGCCGGCCAACAACCTGTTCCCCCACGTTCCTGCTATCAACACCAGCAACCCCCTCTTTGGCATGAACGACTCGGCTTTCATCTCGGACGACGAGATCGACGAAGTCCACTCAGATGTGGACGAACGACCCACCACCGCTCGCCGGACTGCGGCGCAGTACCCTCCCATGGTCCGCAGCGCCACGGACGGCTCGCACTCGCTGGAGTCGATGATCCGCAGCGGCATGCGTCGACTCACGGGCGGCACCGCGACGAACCGGGAGAAGGAGCGCCAGCGTGATCTCCTGCGTGTCCAGCAGCGCGCGGTTACGCAGACGGCTAACTCGCCGCGCGTGCCCAAGGTGCCCCAGGAGTACCTGTCGGGACCAACTAGTCATCCTACGAGTCCGCGGTAGTCTGTTTTTCTTTTTCATTTCATTCATTTGTTCTGCATTTCGAAGACGAGGGCATTTACCGGGCGTTGGGTGCCGTCATACCCTTTGGCCTGGATGGGATTGTTTGTGTATACCATCTCAGTTCATATTAGTTTATTTCATTCATCCTTCAACCTTCCGTATCTACCTCGACGCTTATAGTAAATATCCACGTGACCGGGAATGTCTGCTCCGGGCTTCCCCGCATTATTGACCCTCGGAAATCCGCGGCGCAACGAACATCAATTGATGGGTTGCACGTCCGCGTTACATGGTTAAATACCCCCTTCCTTGCACCTCTGTCTTATTTTATAATTTTATTACCGACCTTCTTCTGTTGGTGTCGTTGTTGGTTCACTCCTGACTCTACAACTGCCGACCGCGAACTAAACAAACGCTTGATCTAGCCCCCATCATCCACTGCGTGTGGCTGCTGTCGGTTCCAGCCTCGGCAAGAAGTGCGAACTGTGAATCCTTGAACACACACCATGAGTGTCCGCTCAGCGCTGGCCCTCCCGCGGAGGGCGAATTTCTTCTACACGCCGTGCCGACGCTGGCCGTCGAGTACCCGCTCCTTTGCAACAACGCTCCGCCGCGATGCGACGTGGGGCTTTATTGGTCTGGGCCAGATGGGTACGTTTAGTGATACTTTTTGATTTACCATTGTGTCGGGCCGGTGAGAAACGATACACTAACAATGGCTGGCAGGCTACAACATGGCCAAGAACTTGCGCGCCAAGATCCCCGCATCCGACACGTTGATTGTGCGCGACGTCAACGATGAGACGGCCGCGCGTTTTGCTGCCGAGGCCGAGGAGGCAGCGGGGGGTAGTGGGGAGGGCAAGGTCGAGATCGCAGACAATGCGCGCGAAGTGGCCGAGAAATCAGTGAGTTCACCTATATTTCCTCGCGGCAATAACGAGCGTTCACTGATCGTCTTTCTAGACAGTGATGATCACCAGTCTGCCCGAGTCTCAACATGTCATTGATGTCTTTCACTCCATCCTCAAACACGGTGACCTGCCGCCCCTCGAGGCGGAGCGTCTCTTCATCGATACCTCGACCATTGACCCCGTAACGTCCAAGGACATTGCCAATGCCATCCATACGACGCAGCAGGGCCGATTCGTCGACGCCCCCGTTTCGGGGGCGTGGTCGGCGCGCGCGCCGGCACTCTTTCCTTCATGTTCGGCGCCTCCTCGCAGACCGGCCAGCTGATCGAGCGCGTGCGCGGTGTGCTCGCCCTGATGGGCAAGAAGGCCTGGCACCTCGGCGACCCCGGCTCGGGCGTGTCGGGCAAGCTCGCCAACAACTACATCCTGGCCATCAACAACATCGCCACTGCTGAGGCCATGAATCTTGGCGTGCGATGGGGGCTGGATCCCAAGTCTCTGGCTGAGATGATCAACTCGTCCACGGGCCGCTGCTGGCCCTCTGAAGTGAACAATCCCGTCCCCGGCGTGGTGGACACGGCTCCGGCCTCGCGGGGGTACGAGGGCGGGTTCGGGGTGAGCCTGATGCACAAGGACTTGCGACTCGCTCTCGTGGCGGCGGAGAAGTCGGGCACCCCTCTCACATTGGGCGACCAGGCGCGCGATGTCTACAAGGCAGTTGAGGAGGCACATCGGGGCAAAGACTTCTCGGTGGTGTACAAGTGGCTGCAGGACAAGTCGGAGTAGCAGATATTTTCATTGTTGCATGTTCTGACTACCTGGCGTTGTCGATTATTTCCCCTGTTCGTCCCTACTCGCCTTCATAGATGTACCGACTTACTAGGTGCTCCATACAAATACATGAAGTCCAGACAGACCCCGTGACATCCTCGTGCCTTCCTCTCTTAGTCCTGTTGCGCCTGCCCTGCTGCAGCCTTGGTCTTCGTCTTTCTTCTTCTCTTTCTCTCTCATCCTCCATCCCACCCCGTCTCTTCCCCATCTCCATTCCATCTCATCTTCATCCATTCCCCATCCTCATTTTCACCTTCCTCTATCAGCACACGCTGGTGTATCCCACCACCGGCTTGTATTGCCGTATAGATCAACTCTGTTGAGAGTATCATGCACTTCACTTGCTTCGCACGCCCTAATTGACTCAGAACCCATCCTCACAACTTGGGAGCAGAAACGCTTCTACTCAACGGTAAGTCCATCTCACTCAATGCCAACCCACAGATGTGGTACTGGATGGGCGAGCTGACCGTTACTCTGTTCAGTAATACTCGCTGTCTCTAAGCATCTGTTTATATACACCTGTCTGAGGTAAGACTTCTTCTCCCTCAATTCGCTCCTGGATCGAGCCATCGATCGGATCTGTCATTGGGTGCCTTGCATGACTTCCCTAGGTCCTCATTACCTCCTATTTCCTTATAGTTCGTTCAGTGCCCAGAACTATTCACTGACTGGGTGGCAGTTCCATTCAAAACTATTCATGATGCACACCAAGGGCTCTCAGACCGACAGCTCTGCTGGAGCCACCCAGGCTCCCCAAACTGGGCAGTACCACCATGAGCCTCGCACTCCGTACAACTCGGGACATACCAATGCCAAGGCTCGCGATGGGGATGGAACCACTCTATCCCAGCTTTTCAGTGGCCTCAGCTGGCAGAACTCGCGAGGCAAGTATGGTGCTGCCAAAGGCACCACGCCCGCGGCGATGAACGCGAACGTGGACTGGTCGACTGCCAACCGAAGTGGCTACAACAACTCGTTTATTCTGGTACCTAACTCCACTCTTTTCGGTGGCATGACCCAGATGCCTTCCTTTGTTCCGAACTCTGTTACGGGACACAACGATCAACTGGGCCAATTCCCTTACCTATCGGGAGGAGTCTACCCCAACATGGTGACTGGATCGATGCAAGGGTATAACTGGCCTTATGTGATGAACTACGACCTGCAGGACACGGCGAACAACAAGCAAAGCACCTGGGGCACAGGCGACTGCCAGAAGGGTGCTCAGAACGAAAACACCGGCCACGTCCAGTACTTTTCGGCCCCCTTCATGCCTGGTGTCGACGCCAATTCCATGACCGGCTACTCCTACAGCGGTCTTTGCCCGCAGCTTGGATCCCTCACTCTCCCCTGGCAGATGATGAAGACCAACAATGGATACGTGGTACAGGATCTGGAGGCCCTGACCCAGCAGGAACCCGCTATTCCTCGGGCTGTGCCCGCCATGTGGACCAACCCGTCCGATCTGACTCTCGCAAAATGCCTGGAGAACCGCGAGGGCATCACCAATGTCTACATTCGAGGCTTTCTCCCTGAGACCACGGACGAGATGTTGCAGGCGTATGCTACTCGTTTTGGAAAGATCGAGCGCTGCAAGGCAATCGTCGATCTGGACACTGGCCTATGCAAAGGGTATTACATGCCAAGTATTTCGTCTCGGGGATTGGCTGATAGTTCTCGCAGATTCGGCTTCGTTCAGTATTACACTTTCGAGTCCTGCGAAAACTGCATTCGCGGTTTCTTCTATCTTGGCTATCAGGCCAGCTTTGCTCAGGTGCGGTTTTCTACGGCAGCTTTAGGGTTAGTCAAATGCTCACGTTTTCCAGAAATCTCGCAACTCCCGTCTCAAAGACCTGGAGGACAGGTCTTCCACCAATATATACTGCACCAATCTCCCGATTGATTGGACCGAAGCTGTGAGTTGAAACGAAGCTAGCTGGCGATGATTTGCTAAATTGTGTCACAGGACCTTCGTCGTCACTTTGAGCCCTATCGTGTTGTTTCCGAGAAAATTAGCCGTGATGAGAAGACGGGTGTGAGCAAGGAAGTGGGATTCGCACGGTAAAGCTTCCAGTATGGATGGCTGATTTGTGTCTGATACACTTGCAGCTTCGAAACCCGTGAGATTGCAGAGATGGTGTTATCTGAATACCACAATATGGCCAAGGACGATGGCGTGAAACTGCTTTTGCGTTTCGCAGATACCAAGGCCCAGAAGATGTTGAAGCAGCAGAGCAATGAGCGCCGTGCCTATCGTGCTGGCGAGTACAACTACTCTGTGGAGGTTGTGCAGGGATCGACTCCCTCGCCGTCTCTCCAGCGACTTCAGCAGACTACTTCCAACCTGACCCCGACGCCCAACTCTAACTCTCAGGTCAGCTACACCTCGCCGGCTGGAGTGGGCTCCAACTGGACCCCAGCCACTTCGATTTCGCCCACGTATGTGACAAGACGATCTTTCAGTCTGGCAGCGCTGACCAGATATTACAGGTATCCACACATGAAGAACCCGGCCAGTGGCGCGCGCCTGAGCTCGTTGTCATCGCGCAGCCTGAATTCTCTTGACAGCACCATCACTCCAATTTACCGAGCGCGACCTTTCTCGCTGACCCGCGACTCTCTGACCGATATCTCTGGGGGCTCTTCCAAGACTGCCATGCCGGAGTCTCCTACCATTGGGCCACGCTCGTACATGTCGAGCCCTCACAAGGAGAACGTCAAGGCCGGATCTGTGTCTCCTGTCTCCTCTCGCATGGAGATCATCATCTCAACTCCTCGCTCGTGCACCTGAGCGCCTGCTCCTGCCTTGTCTGACATGCAGAGCATCAGCTATGCATACAAGCCTCGGCAAATTATTCTCACCAATGAGTTTCACTTTCACGGCATGTGTTATAACCCACAGAATGTACGACGATGTATGGATTGAAAAGCTTCTTTTCCTGTTGTGTTTGTTTTCTGTGTTCCATCTGCTGTTCCAACTGTTTTCTTTTTCCTTCTGCATCTGTTACAGAGTTTCGGCGTGGGGGAGGGTTTACTGAAAAAAGCATGTCTTTCTGTGGTATCTGTTTCGGATGGTGAATTTCAGAGTTTTGTTTCATCAACGTCGGCGCTCGCTGTCGGCTGCGTTAGGACTACTAGTCTAATATGAGAATATGAGATAATCATTCATGACACATCGATACATCCGGAATAAACACCACAGAAAGATATGCCTTTGTACTGAAGTCATTCGATATAGGCAATGCCATATCCGAAAGGCACCTAAACATCCACTTCTACACAGCCTTGTGACAGTTCTAAACGTGCTTGCCTATAGCCTAAGCAAGTCCTAATAAGGTGACCTATAGCGCAAAGATCTTGCTATGTAATATTTGTGACAACTTGCCACCTGCGGGTAGTTAGCAATCGGCTATGGGATAACGTATTCCGACGTCGTTGACTTTCACCTTTCCCTATCCAATCCACTTTGGGGCAAATTCTTACATGTGTTCTGTCTAGCCTATGAAAGGGGGCCATTATTTACTTCATTCAATGTTGGTGCCCATAACTTGCTATTTCTTCATTTTCCACCGGAGGAACACTTTGGGGATGGGTGTTTCTTTCTTCTTTTGATTATTGTGTTTTCAGGAATATGGGTCGAAGGAAACAGTATAGACAGAGTTCAGGCTTTACGACTAAACACGAGACCACTCATGCTTTGGTCAGTTCCTGCATGTAATTTTCGTGTTCCGCCAGCCACTTCATCTCAGTGCAAGCTCATGGGAGACAGATCATGGCCACCCTTTCTCAGTCGCCAATGCGAAACAAGAGGACAAATAGTCTGGGACGTGCCAAAGAATCTTGCCAAAATTGTTCCGCTGCCCACCTCTCGTGTGACCGTTCTCGACCACGATGTTTGACATGTACCGAAAATGGGATTACCTGCTCGGGTTATAAGATGAACCTGACCTGGCAATTTGGAATAGCCTCAAGAGGCAATCTAGCAGGTTTCAGTTATTCTGTTCCTAACGCTACCAATTCTGTTTCACCTTCACACATAGATTCGGTGAATAAGAAGCGTCGCTGGAGAGGGAAAAGCTCAAGGGAGACCGGTGAACGTTTGTTCAAGTTTGTGGAAGGAAAGTCAACAGGGAGACGAGGGCGAAAAGGGAAAATTACTCCTGAGCCAGCAAGCAACAGAAACCCAACAGCCGAGGAGCTGTCGACATTCCACCAAGATGTCAACATTTCTGATATATCAATGTCTTCTTTATCGTTGCCATATCTTGCTGGTAATAGTGATGTTATTGAAGACGCAACAGTTGGAACTGGTCGGTTATTCCTAGTCGCCTTCCTTGACACTCACCGGACTAATAGATTGAAAGCAGGGTTTTGTGACGAATTAGATCAAATACCCGAAGAAATTGAAAGACTGTCTTTCCCAGGTCTTTCCCTCTCTCTAGACTAAGACACAAACGGCGATGACCAAGAGGTCCAGGACTGTATGATATCTACTTTAAGCTTTGTTCAAGACTTACCAAACTTTTCAGGCATTCAGCTATCTATCATGGCAAGGAATCCCTCCGACAATTTAAGACAGAGATATCACTACGTCCTGTCATGCTGTAAGTCTTAATCTGCGCTTATGGTTAACAGACGGGCTGATGCTGCAAAGATGACCAACACATTTGTGCAATCCCATTAACTTCAGACTGCTTCTTGGACCCGTTTCGTGTTTTGACTGAGAATAAAAGCGTATCACAGCACCTTCTCCATGCAGTTCTGGCTACTTCTCTTTTTCATATCCACCAAAACAACGAAAGTACGGAGAGTACCGCTTTGGTCGATTCCCACCGCTCAGAGTCAATCGGACTATATTCGCGGGCTCTTAGTGGACCGACGGGCCAGAACACCGGGGTTGCCTTTTTAGACACAGCACTTCTCCTCATGTATTTGGATGAGTCGGCCTTACTTTTGATTTGTAGTTGTGATAGTCACTGACTTGCTTATAGTCTGCACAATCTGCGATTGGCCTCTATCGTATTCATCTCCAGGGCATTCGAAGCATTATAGACAGCTCTGGTGGGGAATCTCTGCTCATTCCGTAAATCTCACGCCTGAGGGCTCATCTGGCCATGTTCATATGGTATGACGCCACTATCGATTTATTGTCCCGCGAAGACCTTGTCCTTCCGTTGTCATACTTGGAAGGCGTCCTCCGACACGGGCGTTTCGATGGATGGAACTATGAATATTTAATTGGCTGCAGGGAAGAGTTTGTGGTAATTCTGGCAGGACTTGCAAGGCTGGCGAAGCAATATGAGACCTCTCGGGAGATGGAAAATCTCTATTTTGATATGACCGCAGTGGACGAAGTCGAGGAGACTTTGCAGCACATCCCTTCCGAGTATCCCTTCTTCGACACTGACGCGGATGAAGAGACTCTTAACTTGGTTCGAGATTGTTACCACTGCGGGAAGCGTGGCGAAATGGTCTCTTCCTTTATATTCAACGAATATTTCGGTGGACGTGTTGGGATCCAGCTCCGCTGAGCGCCAAATATATCGCTCGTATTGTCATAGAACATGCTCGATGCATCAGGCGAGAAAACAATTATCAAAAACAAGTCCTGATTGCGGTTTTCCTTGCCGGTGCGGAGGTGAAGCGAGAGGACGACCGAGATTTTGTGAGAGGATATACTGCGTGGTGGAGTCGGCTGTGTGGCTCCAAGATGTTCGACGACGCATGCTCCTTTTTAGAGGAGGTTTGGATCGAAATTGACGGACAAGGCGGCCAGGAAGTATGGTGGGGGAGTGTCATTGATAGGCGATGTCTTCAGTTAGGGCTTCCCCAGCGACCACGAGTGTTGCTCGGGTGAAGGTTCATATCCAATCCTGCAGCCTGTTGCCTGTTGGATGGTCTGACTGAGGGCGATTGGTCTCGCCTCGTACATGTGAGAGCTGCGTGGGGCTCCTACAGAGATTAGAATTTGACAATTATTTCATTACTGTAGTTAAATTGGATGAATTATTATCAATGGTAGAAGAGATATATATTTCTGGAATGTGTGGGTGATTGTAAATCGGGGGTGTGTTAACTAATTACTTGGACTACTGACTGTTATGCTAGGCCCTCAAAATTGACCAAGTCTTTCAGCAACGGAGAAACGATGGTGTCGAAGACACGCTCCTCGAACTTTTTCTCGAGACATAGAGCAGACCAAGACAAGCAGCTATTAACTGCATCTGCATAATTCGTCCCACTCTCCATGTATACCATCTTGACAAGCCACGACGCGGTCCTGAATTTAGTCACCAACGTATCCTGATTCTCATCCTCCAGATCCAGCAATGTGTGGAGAGACTTTCCAAGGGACAGCTCCACCAGTGCCAGACCTAGTGGTAATAGACGATTACCCCCGAAATCAGAATAGTTAATGTCATTGGGAGGCCCTTGTATTGTGCTCGTGGTGGAAAGAGGCCATGACAGGTATAGATTATCCGATAGCACATTGCTACCGTCACTGGCAGCAACCAGGTGGACATCAGAGCTGTCCCACCAGGATTTCAACCAATTACCGCAGAATTGGATTACACCACATGCTAAACCAGCAGCAATATGAAGGCGGTCCCGCCGACTGATATGTGACAGCACCTCGCGGAGAGACTTTTGTGGAACACGTTTTGGAAGTATCCTCACCGCATGCATCGTGTATTTAACAGAGGCATCTAGCTCATTCGAAATGGAACCAATGCTTTCCCGCCGCCCAAAGTGTGATTCAGCGACGCAAAGAGACGAACAGAAGTCTTGGATCGGTGGAGCAGATAGAACCTCCAGGTCTTTTTTCGATGGCCGTACTTCCTCCGCAGGAAGGATACCAAACTGAACTTTGGGCTTCTTGTGGTGAAGGGACTTGGAATCGTCATGCAGAGATAGACCGGCAACTGTCACCATCTCTTCAACTCGGCAAGGCTCAAACACCACTTCTGTCCAAGTCCATAGACACGTTGGATCCGCATCATTCGTGTTGGAAAAGATCATTCGAAATTGCGATCTGGCGTCGAAGTTGTGGTCGGAGTATTCTTCAGTACTCTGTAAGGGGTTTGTTTGCAGCTGGAGATGGACGCAATGCTGCTCCTTGCACTGACAGCGCCAGTAGCTTCCTCCAATGATTGCTTTAAAAAGACCGTCGGCATGCTTGCGGGCCTTTTGATAACGTTTGAGAAGGTAGCGCCAGGTCTGCCGCCTCTTCTTGGTATCTTCTCGGTGAACTGACTGGTCCACCAGAGTCTTGAGGATTGTATTGGTTCCGTCAATTTTTGCGAGGAGATCGTCGTAAACCGCCTTGCTAATAATCTTTCGAAATTTCCATATGTTCCAGGCATCTGCGACGGGTTCCTGTTTGGAGATTAAATCAGGTTAAGGATTGTCCAAACAGTTATTAGAAAATGCCAACTGCTAACCTTTATATCAGTCACGCCAATTTCTAGCTTATCCGATAGTTGTTCCAGCAACTCAGAGAGACCAGTCATATTGCCTATAAACACCTCGTAATTTCGGTCCAACTTCCGGCGCAGTCGCTTTTGCAAGTCTGGGTCCTTCCATCCATCACCTTGTGGATCGCGGATGAGCTCAGAAACTTGATCCTCATCATCCACGACACCTTCCAAGGCCTGTTCTAGTGTATTCAGCAGAATCGCATGCTGTGTACTAAGGCCTACTGAATAGCCTTTAAACTCCCGTCGGTAGCGTCTCAGACCCTTGATCTTCTCTATGCCGCGGACGTAGGCGTCGATCTGGTTCACGACGAGCGGCAGGATCGCGAGAGCGAGTCCTGCAGCCTCGATACCGGTGACCATGTCTGGTTCCGATCTTTTGAGCGCCGCCTTGCGAAAGAGAAATTGTTTTGTTTCAGCTGGACGGTGCTGCTCACCCCGCTAGTAACTCTGCCCCGCACTACTGCCGCATGGAAGATTGCCCGAGATGCTAGCAAACATCTCGCACCTCGATAATGCCAGAGGCTTTACAGCTTCAATAATTGCCGCATAATGGTAGCAATATCGGAGCTGTTCCAGGACTGTCTCGCCCAGTTCATCTCATTAATCAACCCGGACACGCTCTCCGGTCATACTGAGGAGGTTCCGCTGCAAGAATGGAGGGACGAACTGGGCCGATTTCGCGTGTGGGCAGCAAATATCGGTGCTCATCAGACCCGTCAGTCCTCGCTAGATTACCGGCTAAGAGATGCTTCGCATATCAAGAGCCAGATAGTGCGGCTCTTAGAGCGAGTCCAGGAACTACTAGCTGACCTTGAGGATGTACTCGACGAAAAAAAGAATGACGAAGCCCAGGACGATAGGTTTGAAGATTTGGGAGACACCTCGGAAAACGAGAACTCCACCACAGAGATCCAAGAAATTCACCAAGGCCTCGTTGAGACGATCACCCAACTCTACCAGATGTCCATGATCATCCGCAGACCAGCACAACACGATCGGCTGGTCGGAACAGATAAACTGGATTCCGAACCCTTCCAATTTTGGGCTAAGCAGCATGCCTCCAACAAATATCCAAATGCGGATGCGCTGGTTATCGATCGTATCAGTTCCGCAATGGCGAGACAAAGGGCGATCTTGAAATACCGTGAACGACACCATACGAAATTAAGTCAGGGCATCAATTCCGAGCCCGATGGTAAATCGACTATGCTATCAGAAACAGTGGTGACAGATGTGTTTAAGGAGACGCCTGGCCAATTTAGCGACATGGTCTCCGATACTGGCATATCTGAAACTTCATACGGAGGCACCCTGCTCGAGGGCACTGGTGCAGATGCTCCTAAAATACCACCTATACCGAAGAAGGGCGCAGAAGAGAGACCCTTTGAGTGTCCCTATTGCTTTTATATCATCACGGCTCGAGATAAGAGAGCATGGGCGCGCCATATTTTCCGCGATTTGATGCCGTACGTCTGCATCTTCCCGGGATGCTCGACGCCCAATAAGCTCTACGAGGGCCGCCGACAATGGTATCATCATATTCGGCAAACACATGCTCCGACATCAAGCACGGATGGTATATATGACTGTTCTATCTGCAAAAAGGGGCTCTCTTCCCGCTGCCACGTTTCAGCGACACGTGGGTCAACACCTGGAAGAACTTGCGCTCTTTTTGCTGCCACGAACAGACCCAGACGAAGATGAAAACGCAGTGATGGGTGAGGAGAAGGGGGTGGGGAGCATTGATGACAATCTTAGCGGCGCATCTTTGAACGACTTTTCAGTGGAACAGAGTGTCGAGCAGCGCAACTATATAAACAATGCAGCAACATCAGCCTCAGATTCCGATCCTGGTGATGACAATCCATTGGGAGGACTGCAGAATAAAAGTAAACATTACACATCCTCTGTCGGAACGAACTTGAGCGACAGAGAGTCTCGGTGGGTTCTGGAGTCCAACGTCGAGTACAAAAGCCGCGGTTCATCGCCCCCTCACAACCACGAAAACGAATCCGCTATGAGCCAGAACCTCCTGGAAACGGGCGACTTCCGCCAGGACATGGAGATCTGGAAGCAGCAGCAGGGAATTGAGAGGCTTGAGGGCGAGCTGGAGAAGCACCGTCTAGCTGGAATAAAATCATCTCTCTTTGGCAAGCCTGGACTCAAAAGATCGGAACCAGACATGGTCACCAAGAGCAGCAGCCATCTGCAGAAGCTTGAGGAAGCGGAAAAGGATGCCGCCGAGAGTGATAAGCTGAAGGTTAAAATCCTCGAAGAGAAGTTGAAGGAGATTTCCAAGCAGCCGGAGGAGCAGAAGGAGCGTGACAAGCACAAGAATGAGATTATCGAGCAGGAGAGAAGTGAGGCCGCTGAGGCTGAAGAAAAGAGGAAAAAGGGACTTGCCATTGAGGAATGGAAGCTCGAGCAGGAGCGCATCATGCAGAAACAGAAGGAGGAGGCTGAGAAGAAGGATAACGAGTTCCGTGAGCGTCTGCGCATCGAATTCGGATATACAGAGGAAGAAATTAGAGAGCTACTCTACAAGGAGAAAAACGACGTGAAGGAGAAGGAGAAGCACAACGAGCATGAAGTGAAAGAGAAATTGGATACTTGGATCAGGGCATGAAGCACCACCTGCCTATCGCGTGAGGGTTTCTACTAACAATTCCCAGGTCCACCGCAAGCACCTGCTCCCCGAAACGTTGCTGGCCTTCGATCTTCCCTGGGAGTGGGACGAAGTAAGCCTATCCTGCATAACCATTCCTCGATGTGACCCGCCAATGCTAACCCCCCTTCCCTCTACCAGCGCGACAGCAACTACATCGTCATCAAGCAATGGGTCTCCACAGACGTCCAAGACGAGCTCTTCGCCCACACCCGCCGCCTACGCGAGGGCAAGCTGGCCGCCCAGACCTCCAGCTCGACCACCGAACTCAAGGTCAATGACCGCGATAAGGACAAAATGTATCTAAGGCGGAAGAATAGCCCCAGGGGAGGAAGGCAACCGAAGGTTTATAAACGATGATTTATAGAGCCGAACATTTATAGAGCCGAACTTGGGCCGATCGCTTTCCGAAGCGGCAGTGTTACCGTCGCTTAAAATACTGTCGAGATAAGTCACCTTATGTCTCCCTACCTGGAATACGGGCAGTTATATAGTTAGGGTATCTAGTCGTAGTTAGTGATTGCTATATAAAAAGGATCTCGACCCTAAGGCCGCCGTCAAAAACTTCTCTGACCTACCTCTTTGGCCTCCGGCCTAGAGGCCTTTCACTACAAGACTCTGACTGACATCCAGCCACACGCAATCACCTACGCTCTTAAGATTAGGGTAGACAGTCTAATACGAGAATATGAGATAATAATTCATGCATCGATCGTCTCCATTCCAAGGGTTCCTCCCAAAAAGGAAAAAAAAAAAAAAAAAAAAAGATCTATGTAGAAGAGTGGCCAAAAACACAGGGGAATCTCGCTTTCTATACAATTGACTTCTGCTGTTCATCCATCACCGCAATTCAATTGCGACCCAACCTCTCCTCCACATCCTCGGTGAGATTATATGCCGGAAGATACTGCTGCTCACCAGCCGCACAGCCCCCCACTCCATCCCCATTGGGATCACCATCAACCTTTAGTCTCGGATTCGGATATGTATCAGACGTGCCCCCGAGAGAGGTATATCCCTGATCATAGAGTTCGCAATAACATAACCCCAGATGGCGAATAAACGCCCAGATCTCCGAATAATGCCAATCGATCACCGGATGCACGCGCACAAAGTCTGGCCACCCGCCATCTGTCCGGTCGAAGTGCGTCAGCTGCGCGCCGTGCGGGTCTGTCCGCCGTGTCCCCACGAAGATCGCCCGGATTCCCGGGTGTCGGTGCAGGTAATCCTCGAAACTGGAGCGTAGCGTGCTGGCGGGCGGGGCAGTGGTGTATTTCGTAATGGAGAGGTGGAAGGCCCTTGCGGAGCTGATGACGAAGTCTTCGACGGCGGGGAAGGGGTCCGGTGGGAGGGCATAGATGGAGGGGATGACGGTCGCCGCGGCGGACTTGAGCGCTTGGCTGGTATCGTCGGTGTTTGCTGATGGAGGTGGGTAGGGATGCAGCCCTGCGAGAAAGAGGATTACCATCACCAAGCAGTCCTTGCCGCCGTTGTAAGAAACCGAGAGCTCCGACAGCGAGTACCGCGAGAGCGCGGTTGATACGACCTCCAGCGAGGTGCGTGTTTGGCGCTGCACGGAGGCGAGCAGCGAGCCCGGCGGGTGCGTCTCGGATAGAAAGGCTTGCACCCGCGCGTGGATGTGGGCGATCACCGTTGGTAGCGGGGGAATGTCACCGGCGTTATCGGGGTGGCCATTCTCGTGGTTGGTATGGTTGGGTAATTGAAAGGGACGGAGATGGTCTTGCGGGCGCAGCAGTCGAGGCGAACTGGCATTATTATTATTGAGAGCCTCGGGCGCGGCCATCGTCGTCTGGCGGACCCTGCTTGAATTGGCGGGATGTGGAGAGAAGAAGAAGGAAGAGGTTGGTTCTCGGCTGTCGGAATAAAGGAAATCTAATCCAATCCATTCCATTCCATTCATTCATGTGGGGTATACCAACTAACTACTGTAGAGATCAACTAGAGAAAAATGCAGTACTACTGATCACTATCCCAGCACTTTCATCTTTTTCTTCTTCTTCTCGCCTGTCTTCTTTCCATTCTGCCAATCCCGCCAGCTGCCAATGCGCTCTTCGCGGGTATCCTCCCAGGCCTTGTCCTGGTCGCGCTTCCGTTTCCGCGCATCTAGTTCCTCGTCTTCCTTGCGCTTCTCCCGTCCTTCTTCCTGCATGCGTGCCTTGGCCTGTCTGCGCCGCCGCGCCTCTTCTTCAAGGAGCACGTGCACCGTCTTCTGCCGCCATTCCTTCTTGAACTCGCCGGTCTGCAGCTCCGGCGAGTCAACTGTGTACTTATGTTCTCGGATCAGGAGCCGCCGTGCGTCGGAGATGCATTCGTCAAGGTATGCGCGTTGTTTTTCATCAAGTAATGCCGTCTGGGCCTTCTTCAGCCGGTCGAATGCGTCGGGCGCCGCGGGATTTTTGGTCTTGTCCGGGTGGATCAGCAGGGACTTCTTGCGGTATTGTAGTTTGATGTCGGAGTCCGGGACGCCGGGCTGGAGATCGAGGACTGCGTAGCTGTAATATGCCTCTGGTCAGTTGCCTGTGTAATTCTTGTAGGTCGAGTAGCGGACTTACGCATCGAGAGAGAATGCCTGGCGGATGCGGTCGATCTCGGCGTCCTGGAGGCAAGTGTCAGACTGGTGCCATGGACAAATCACCTGGCGAAGACATACCTTGGCAAAATCAGATGCCTCGCGCTCTAGCGAGTCCAGGATGTCCTTTTCTTCCTTGTCGTCGTCGGCCATGATTGAGTCTGGAATTGAGTTGCGAGCGTTCAGATTGGGCGATCCTTGGGCGATGATAAGGACCGCCTTATCGTGGCTGACTCAGCACAAAAAAATGTCTTTTCACCGCCGGGCAGATTTTCGATTCTCTCCAGCAGCAACAGACGGACAAACAGACAAATCATGGCGCCAGCGCGGGCTTCCCATGGCAAGCAAAAACCTCATACTGACTCTGGTCGGGTGCTGAAGCGCAAGCGCGACCAGGATGAGCTGTCCACACTCGCCCAACGGGTCGACGACCTCGACCCCAAGGCCGCCGTCAAAAACTTCTCCGAACTGCCTCTCTCCGAACCGACAGCCTCCGGTCTCGAGGCCTCTCACTACAAGTCTCTGACCGATATTCAGTCGCGCGCGATCTCCCATGCACTCAAGGGCCGCGATATCCTAGGCGCTGCCAAGACCGGTAGCGGCAAGACACTGGCCTTCCTGATACCCGTTCTTGAAAATCTGTACCGCAAACAATGGACTGAATACGACGGTCTGGGAGCGTTGATTCTCTCTCCAACCCGTGAATTGGCCGTTCAGATTTTCGAGGTTTTGCGGAAGGTGGGCCGATATCATGCTTTCTCTGCTGGCTTGGTCATCGGCGGGAAGAGTCTGCGCGAGGAGCAGGAACGATTGGGACGCATGAATATTTTGGTCTGCACACCTGGTCGCATGCTCCAGCATCTCGATCAGACTGCTATGCTAGAGACACACAATTTCCAGATGCTGGTGATGGACGAAGCGGACCGGATTATGGACATGGGTTTCCAAAAGACGGTGGATGCGATCATCGACCACCTTCCGAAGGAGCATCAGACGATGCTCTTCAGTGCTACGCAAACAAAAAAGGTTTCAGACCTCGCTCGTTTGAGCCTGAAGGACCCCGAGTATGTTGCGGTGCATGAAGCGGCCGCTGCGGCGACACCCGCAACCCTCCAACAACACTATGTCGTTACTCCGCTACCTCAAAAGCTTGATACTTTATGGAGCTTTATCCGCAGCAACCTCAAATCCAAGACCGTGGTCTTTCTATCGTCGGGGAAGCAAGTCCGATTCGTCTACGAGTCCTTCCGTCATCTTCAGCCAGGTATTCCGCTGTTGCATCTTCACGGCAAGCAGAAGCAGGGTGGCCGACTGGATATTACGACCAAATTCTCCCAGGCCCAGCACTCGGTACTCTTTGCCACGGATGTCGCTGCCCGAGGTTTGGATTTCCCCGCTGTTGACTGGGTTATCCAAATGGACTGCCCAGAAGATGCCGACACATACATTCACCGTGTCGGACGGACAGCCCGGTACGAGCGGGTTGGACGCGCCGTGCTGTTCCTTGACCCCAGCGAGGAGAAGGGCATGCTGAAACGACTTGAGCAGAAGAAGGTGCCCATCGAGCGGATCAACATCAAGGCAAATAAGCAGCAGAGCATCAAAAATCAACTGCAAAACATGTGTTTCAAGGACCCAGAGCTGAAGTACCTAGGACAAAAAGCATTTATCTCATACGTCAAGTCGGTATACGTGCAAAAGGACAAGGAAATTTTCCACCTGAAGGAGCTGTCATTGGAAGACTTGGCTTCTAGCATGGGGTTGCCTGGTGCGCCACGCATCAAGTTCATCAAGGGCGATGACACCAAGGAGCGCAAGAACGCGTCTCGCAAGATGACCCAACTCTCGAGTGACGAAGAAGACGATTCGGACGTGGATGGCCAGAAGAAGCCAAAGAAGAAGGACGAAAACCAGGTGCGGACACGGTACGACCGCATGTTCGAGCGCCGCAACCAAGATGTGCTGGCGGATCACTATTCGAAACTCATCAATGACGATGGCACTCTGGTTGCACCCGATACCAACGAGGGTGGCGAAGACGCAGACGAGGACGCCGATTTCCTATCTGTCAAACGTCGGTTTGCCGCGGGAGACGTAGGTCTCGACCAGGCCGAGTCCGATTCCGAGGACTCCGACGACCAGCGAGCAACCAAGGTGGTGCAGATCGACGGCAAGGAGCCACTCGTTATTGACTCCAAGCGACGCGAGAAGCTACTCAAGTCGAAGAAGAAACTTCTTAAGTACAAGGGCAAAGGAACGAAGCTTATCTACGACGACGAGGGCAACGCGCACGAGGTCTACGAGATGGAAGACGAAGAGCACTTCAAGGCTCGTGGGGCTGCCGACGTCCAGCGCGAGCGCTTCCTGGCCGAGGAAACTGAACGCACGCGTCACGCCGATCTCGAGGACAAGGAGCTGGCCCGCGAGAAGCGTCGCGAGAAGAAGGAAAAGCGACGGGCTCGCGAACGCGCTCTTGCCGACGAAGAGGCCGAGGAGGAGCGGGGTGTGCAGCTACTCCCGTTCGTTGGCGACGATGTCGAGTCTGTGGGTTCCGAGCCCGAAGAGCCAACCCGCCCGAGCAAGAAGCAGCGCGTCTCTGCCGAGTCGGACGACGAGAGCGAGGAAGAGTCCCGGCCACGCAAGTCCAAGAGCAAGGCCAAGAAGAACAAATCCGCCGCTACGGATCCGGCGCAGATCGAAACCTTGCAGGATCTGGAGGCGTTGGCCAGCGGTCTTTTGGGGTAGGCTGTTTGTCAGTTTCTTTTCGAGCGATTTTTCAAAAGCATCCATGTATCTTCTTCTCTATATCGGCTGTTGCATTGGTATCTGCATTTACATAATCCTTAACAGAGTTCTTTCTATCGTACAACTTTGTGCCTATTTCCGTTGTGGCATGTTATGCAGCAGCATCTTTACTCTGAAGGCTGATGTATATGCCCGGGCTCTGATTGGCTGGAGGCAGATGAGGGCCTACATCATGGGACTCGCGATGGTGTTTTCGCTGGCATTATTATAGTTACAGGTTCACCTCCCATAAGCACTCTAGACTTTATTGATGGCGCCAGGAGAACAATAATAAGCAAATCGTGCAGAATCGGAAAGTGGAGCCCCTGCGATATCCATGTGGTTGCGAGTGGAGCTGGTTGAATTTTTTTGACACATCGGGCGGCTTTCGCCTCTTGTGCCCCATCCAGTCATTGTCGCGCAAAATCACGCCATCGTAGCGACTAGAAGGTGTCTTTGAAACGTAGTCCGCAATCGTGATGTTTCCTTCCTCTTTGTATACACGTCGCTGCAGCTTCGCCGGGGTGAACTAATTACTGCGCGGTCACGAGACTCCGGGGATTAGGGCACGGACGGGTTCAACACGCTCGGCCCCAGAAGCTAGGTGACACTAACGCGAGGAGGCGACAACTCATGCGGAGAACCGTTTCTGAGGAGTCGAAGCGCATACAATCAGCCAGGTAGAGAGACCAAAGTCCTCGCCTGCGCTTCACCGGCCTGCCAGCACATATATACATCCGTCATGGCTGATATCGAAAAATATCCCGCTCCCACGGAGGAGTCCTCCAAAGGCCAGGGGTACGACGCGGATGGCGTGTCTAACCCATTCGTCAATGCCGATAAGTTGTCGCGTCGGCTGTCCGCACGCCAGGTGCAGATGATCGCCATTGGTGGTACTATCGGCACGGGTCTGTTTTTGGGCACGGGCGAGTCACTCGCGACGGGCGGGCCTGCGTCGATGCTCATTGCATATGCCATTTGCGGCGGCATTGTGTTTGTGACAATGCTGTGTCTGGGCGAGATGGCTGCATTCGTTCCCGTGGCCGGGTCGTTCTGTACCTATGCGGGGTGAGTCCATTTGTGATGCATCGGAAACAACTGCAATGCTGACGTAGCGTCTAGGCGGTTTGTTGATGATGCGCTTGGATTTGCGCTGACTTGGAACTATTGGTTCAATGATGCCGTTTCAACTGCGTCGGATATCATTGCCCTCCAGTTGCTATTACAGTTCTGGACCGACAATTTCCCTGGCTGGGGCATCAGTTTAATCTTCTTGGTTGTTGTCATTGCGCTCAATATCCTGTCCGTCCGAGTATATGGCGAGGTACGTATTCTTTCTTCCTTCGGTTTGATGTAGCCTAACTAGTGCCAGGTTGAATATTGGTTGAGTTTACTCAAAGTAATCACTATTGTGGTACGTTATCATCTCAGTCAGATGTGCCCCAGTGAATCCCTGACATATCCCTCTCAAGATCTTTATCATCCTTGGCATAGCCGTCAATTGCGGTGGAAACACCGATCACGAGTACATTGGCGGCAAATACTGGCATATTGGGGATGCACCTTTTGTTGGCGGCATCGGAGGCTTCGCTTCGGTGTTCGTGACAGCTTCATTCGCCTAGTAAGTTGCCACCGAAAGCTTACATTAGCTGAATGGCACTGACATCCATGATAGCGGCGGAACCGAATCCATTGCTATCACGGCTGGCGAGACCAAGGATCCCGCCAAGAACTTGCCAAAGGTTGTACGCAATGTCTTTTGGCGTATTTTGCTCTTCTACATCCTATCAATTTTGATCGTCGGTCTGAACGTGCCATATACGCACAAGGGCCTTTCAGATGGCAACACCCGCACCAGCCCGTTCACCATTGTCTTCGAAGAAGCCGGCAGTGCCGTTGCGGGCAGCTTTATCAACGCTGTGATCATGACCTCGGTTATTTCCGCTGCCAATCACGCACTCTTCGCTGGCTCACGATTGTTGTACACGCTCGCCGTTGATGGATATGCGCCTCGCTTCTTCGGTAGTCTCAATCGCTTCCATGTGCCTTGGGTTGCCGTTCTGGGCACCTCCGTGATTAGTGGGCTGTGCTTCGGTGCCAGCTACATTGGCGCTGGCAAGCTGTGGTCGTGGTTGCAAAAGTATGCTCCCTTTCCTTTTACTTTCGTTTTTGTATATGGTACTAACATACGCAGCATCGTCGGCGTCTCCAACCAACTCTCTTGGATCTGTATCTGCCTCGCTTCCCTCCGCTTTCGGTCCGCTGTTCACAAGCAAGGCCTGGAACATCTCCTCCCTTTCAAGAATTGGACATATCCTTACGGCCCTATCATCGCCGTCGGCCTGAATATCGTATTAGTCCTCGTCCAGGGATGGGAGTGCTTCAGCCCGCATTTCCAAGGTGTCGATTTCGTCTCATACTACATTGAGATCCCCATTATGATTGTCATGTTTTTTGCATGGAAGGTCATCAGGCGTACAAAATTTGTCAGGACATCTGAGATGGACTTGCAGACTGATCGATATGATTTGGGCGCCGGGCAAACTGAGCAGGTTCTACAAGAAACAGACAGGAAAAACCGCCTGCTGGCCAAGGTGGAGCGATTTGGACAATGGCTGTTTTTGTAGAAGATCTCGTGATACCTTGTCTATATATGCTTGTTTGGCTTAGGTAGTCTTAATAGAGGTCTATAAGACAGATCATTTACTGTGTCCGCAGTCACATTGTACCCTGATCATCTCAATCTCACTAAGAAAGCCGCCACCCACCAAATGAAATTATAAAAGCGCGACTATGTTTATACTTTTAGTCATCCAGCTGGAGATAACTCATTTGTTCGAAAAGGTCGTGTCACGGAGGGGCTACTTCGTGAGGTGGTGAAAGATGCGTCGGATAAGGAGACTTAAGGTTTTTGTTTGTGATCCGCCTGCCATGGAGCAGTCGTTGGTCGGTTCGCGGGGGTCTCCGGGGATCTTGACGAACATGGGATCCGCCAAGGAACAAATCTATCAATTATAATGGGTGATAACCTGTTAAGTAGAGTGGACTTACTGTACAATGTACAATATCCCTCGGAGGAATTCTCAAGAAACAAACAAGTTGAGCTTTTTAGCCTATTTGGGTAATGGCCGCGGTAGAAGTAAAGCTGTGGGTGAAGTCTAACCCGACTGCATTCTCAAGACCTAAACACAGAAAGAGAAGAGACAGCCCATTTACGAAGGCAAATAGTAAATACCACCTGCCTTTAAAGACTGCCCTGCCTGAAAAATGAATAAACCACCCACATAACATTCTTGGCCATAACCCAGCCAGGAAATAGAGAACCAAAAAAAAAAAAAAAGTCCGAATGCGAGACAAAACCCCCATTGCTCCTCCAAACGCCGTGCTGTATCTTCAAACAATCCGCGCATAACTATAGGGGGTACTCGCAAATAGAAAGAGAATAGGAAAAAGAAAAGAACAAAATGCTGCGCGAGAAATGAGTGCTCTAGACCACCGGCTGCATCCATATCGATATTGAAAGAGCGCCGTGAACTTGAAATGATATCAAATAAGCGACGCATGCTAGTCAAAAAGCAAAACCTAGTCTGGAAATCATGTCGAAATAAACTGATGTAGACTTTTGGGAATCCCGTGGAAGGAAACAAACGATAACGTGGATGTTGGCGCATGAACCAAGCGCCGCGATGAAGGGTATCAATATGAGCTGCCTGTAGACCCTGCTACATAGCTGAGAAATAGAATTATACAATAATAAGCGAATTGTTTTGAAGTTCGCGGTAACCGAGGTTAGAAAGGTGGGTCTGGAGGACGGACAATAGGAGCCTAGTCGTTCACCATGTCATCCAAGGCCATTCTTCGTCGCTTAACAGGGCGTGGTTCCTGGCTTTCGGCTTCGGTGCTTGACGGTTCAATTCGGGTGCCCGTCGAAGGGGATTGGCCTGGAGCTGCTGCGGAAGGCAGCTCAATTGGTCCGGTATGTCTAGGTGTAGGATCGATAGGGCCTGCCGTTGAAGAAGATCGTTGATGGGAGAATGGATGTGAAAATACGGGTCGATGAAGCGAATCTGCCGGCCGAAGTTCTTGCAGACTTTCCTGTCGACCAGAGAGAGCCCAAGTGGTTGGATATGGATCGCTCAATCGGTGTGCATGATGAGGCGTGCTAGGTCTGGCCGTTGCTTGGTGAATTGGGGGAAGCCGAACTGGTGAGTCAATGTGCCCTTCACGGGTGGTATGAGCAAGGCGAGGATCACCCATCGGAGGTCGAATGTCGGAATATGGGAGCAGAGGAACCCCAAGCGATGGTTGATGCTGAGACGGAGATGTAGGTGGTGGCAATGCTGGCCCAATATACGGATGGAACCGTCTTTCCATGCCAGCTGGCATGCTACCTGTTAGAATAGGGTGGAAGCCTCCTGCCATCGAGGCAAAGGCAGGCGGCGGTTGGCTCAGTGCCGGCGGGACTGCTGATCCTGAAGAAAATGGTCGTCGAGCTGCAGCTCCCGGAATCGACGGAGCAGGGCCCATGGGCCGGGTTAGAGGAAAGACAGAAGCCGACCATCGTTGCGGCTGGTCGCGCGGCACTCCCCCTCCGATCACAGGGGAGCCAGCTTCCCCCAATGTCCGTAGATCCGTCACAGGCCGTATTTCGCGTGAAGACGTGGCGCGGTGCATAGGATTGCGCCGTGAGTGTGCGGCTGGCTGAGCCTCCACCCCCGGAACAGAGGGGGCTTCTGGTTGTGTGGTAAAAGTCTGGAGAGAAGAGTCCTCCGCTTTGAGCGGTGGCCGTCCTCGTTTCTTGTGCGTAACATCCACACATGATGACTTCGCTAGTTGTCAGGGGATTGTAGATGATCAAGAATGCAGCAAACTTACAGCTTTGCCAGCGAGAACACATCGTCGACATGGGCGTGCTGAATCACATCCGAGATGCTTCTTCTTACAGTTAACACAGGCCGAAGCCACATGCGCTTTTGTTCGGCGCGTCGGCCTAGGGCCTAATGAGCGGACCGTCGTTACCGGCGTAGAGCCTCCCACCGTCGGCGCTGGATATGATGGCGGACCTGGCGGAGGCAAAGATGAGGTCAACAACGGCGGCAACGCACTTTGCTCTCCATGCTCTGGTAGTGGTGCTCGTGAAGGCAGAGCCTCACTAACTGCAGGCAGCTGCTGTGACGGCCCGGTACCTGTCTCCTCGACCGTAGTAGATGTTACGGATTCAGATGTCGGTTGGGCTCTTGGTTTCTCGGCGGATGTCTGCGAGGGCTCCTCTTCCGGAGGAGACCCCGACATCGATTGACGAGGTGAAGAAGCCCGGGGGCTGCACCCTCGAGCATTGGTAGACCAAGGACGATTCAACGGAAGCCGCTCTGGGCCCGAGTTGAACCGGGGCTGTCCAAACTGGGAGGGGGTAAGGCTCGGAGGGCAAAGCACGAGTGATTGCATCGGGGACCAGGCAGGAAAAGGAAAGGGCCCACGGGGCAGGTGTTCCTGGCGGATCTCGTTCACAAAAGGGGACCACTGGCTCCTGCACTTTGTGGCAGCATCTCCGGACTACCGGGTAGGGTGGTACTGGGGTGATGTATGCGCAGCGGTGTAGGATCAATATCCGGTCGTCATCAAGCTGCCCAGACGTGAGTCCGAGGACCACTCGAGCTTATAATCCAGGGCTAAAGAGATCCGCTATTGGAGGGGTCAGCAAATAGGCTGCATCGATCAGCGGGAGATTTCCAGATCATGACAGCAGGGTTACTCATGTCTCCCATCCCAGGGCGACTTATTGCAGGATGGCGGTCGATCATCGAGCTAGGAGGTGCAGCGCCGCAAAATGTCAAAGCCCCCACACGCCTTACCTATCTGTCTCGGCCATAGCCCACGTTCATGGGGGAAGGAAACAGAAGAAACGGGGGTGAACTATACCCTGATGCATACACCCATACGATAGTGGACCCGTCGAGTGGAAACACTGGCAATAGTCGTGGACAAAAGTAGCACACCGGGGGCCTGTAGGCTCCGAACTTCCACCAGCAGCACATTTGACAGAGGGAGAAATCCGAGCGGGTCGTGGAGACAGAGAAGGAAAGTAGTGGTCAGTGCAGGCAGCACTAGTAGCTGATAGACCTGATCTCCGTCATGGTAGATCTTTGCGAATAATGGGGCAGGTCTGTCCAACGGTACGGGTATGGGCCAATAGTTCAGGTGTAAAGGGGGGGAACGCCCCAGGAGTGGATCAGTCGTATCGTTCGCTCTCTCTGTCTTGCTGTTCAAACTCTCATCTACTGTTCTGTCCATGGGTGGCTTGCATTAGAACCATGGGGGCAGCAGTTCCGCTGTCAGTGCCACCCCAAAGGGGAAAAACCCCAGCTGGAGGAAGGGATCGGATTGCACTAAGACCGCAAAAAGACAGGCCAGGTGGTGCCCTGATGCCAATCAGGCCCGGAAGCAAGGCTAGAGGATTGACGGATCGACGGCGCCCGCAGCCATTGCCAATAGTCAAGCTCGGCAATGAAAATGCACATTCCGTTTGACAATTGTACTGCATGTCCCTCTGTGGGAGAACAAAAAAAACATGCTTAATTTTTTTCCACATCACCCCTTGGCTTGTTGCAACCCTCCATCGGAGCAAACAGGTCTTGTATGTAATGCTCGGGGTGTTTTAGTTTTTTAGTTCTATTTTTTTTTATTTATTTATTTTCGTTTTCAACTCCTCGCGGGCGATAACCCAAATGATTATCTCCAACGAGGAATCCGAGTTGTCCCCTCTCCCTGCCTTGTTGCTGCCACCGGTTCGAGGCCCGTCTTGACACTGATATCAGGTCTAGCCGGTCTTAAAGGTCATCGTTATTCTCCGCAAGTGGAGAAGGCACGAAGGGGCCCACTCAGGGCAATCATGATTGTATGACCAAGGCGATCAATAGTAACGAAAATTCTCATATACTCCGTGGTACGAGGTAGGGGTTACTGTTGCAGTCGCCCTGAGCTTGCAGATCAAGGGTCATCGGCCTTCCGGGATGCAAGGCTGGGGCGCTCAGTAACCTCGTCTCACAACAGAGAAAAGGTGCTGGCCCTGGGGGCCAGGAGTCGGACAGCCGCAGGCACGGTGGTTCAGTTCTCGGGTTGGATCGGCGCCCTGGATCACGAATGGTTCGCGCCGGCAAGTGATACCGATAACGAGGCCCCATCAACACGCAAGTCAGGTACAGCACGGGAGACTGGATTTGCTGGACTCTTTCCATTTTGAGACATGGAAAAATCCCTCCGCCCTCCCTTCCTTCCATGCCATGCGGAGGAATCCTCCAAAAAAGAAAAAGAAAAAGAAAAAAAAAACCCCCCTCTATTTTCCGGGGCCAGATTCCAGGCGGCAATCGTCCAACAAGATGTGGCTGCAGCCTCCGCGACCCTAGAAGGCGATCACACGGCCTTGATCAGCCTCGCAGAGCGTGCGCACTGCTGACGAAACCGTCATCCCTGGCTTTGTCGAAGCATCTGCAGGGTGCTTCCATTCCGAACGCCCCCGTCATCGTCCTCGAGGAGGATGTCCCAGTCAGGAAGTAGTGGCCCCAATCACTCTGGACACGAAAAACCAGCGGACAGACAAAGTGGGCGGGGGAATAATAATGTATTGATGGTTTAGCGGCAGATCGCGGCAGCTAGCCACTCACATCAGGGGAGGGGGAAATAGCCTATTTTCCGTGTCTTTCCCGAAGTGAAGCAAGCGGAGAACAGGCAAAGAGGCACTGGAAAAATTCCATGAGAATGTACATCGAGGAAAGGGGCTCGGAGGTGCCAAAAAAGACACCAATGGGCACATTATTACTGCGCGGTGGAACATGCCGCACGCGGGGCAGCAAGGGGCCTTGTCACCAGGATGAGTTCATGCACGATCGACCTTTTAGCGGCCTCAATAGTGCGAACCAGCTTGGTCCGGGCCGCCATAGTCTGGCCCGTTCGAGTTAGTGGCTTGTGCTGCCCCCTCCATCGGGTGCGACAAGTGAGGCACCCAGCGCTGTGGAAAGATAGGGGTTTGCTTTTTGCTGCGATGCAAGTCAGGTAAGAGAGTGTTTTTTTCTTCTTTCGATATGTCTGAGAAACCTAAGAAACTTTGAGTAAGTATAGAGAGAGAGAGAGAGCAAGGTAGAGAAAATAGAGTCACGGGACCGGCGGAACCCTGAAAAGCGCCAACAATTAGGCTGCGCTAATCGCTGACACCGGTCCCAAAAAATCGCCGACGCCTCACTAGCACAATCAATAGCTTGATTTTCATCACACTCGGAGATTATTCCAACTCGTGGGCTAGCATCCGCCCCTAGCCTAGTCTACCGTCTGGATAGCTACAGGGCCAACGACGTGGTCAAGCGTTACACTACCTACCGCACTCTCGTGGCCATGCGGCCGCCGGGCTCTTCCCCAATCCCGGTTGCGATCCTCACTCACATGATATGATGCAGCGCCAGTTGAGTTCGTCAACGGCGCGCTCCCCTAACGCGCCCGAGGCCTGAGCTCAGCGGCTGTGACATGATTGGGTCTGGGGGAGGAGCTGGCGTTGGAGCTGAGTATCGCAATCGCTGTGGATAGTAATTCTGTTGAGATACTTCGTCATCCAGCTCGGGGCTGCTGTCAGGATAGGGCCGGATGGGTTTCCAATCTACCCTCGTATGGTCCCAGGCCTGGGACGACCTCCTGTTCCAACAGGCCGGGTCAGAGATATCACAAAGATCACGTTGGATTGGGACGTGCTCGTTGATAGAAAAATGCGAGAGAGCAAAACAAAGTAGGCCAGGGCATATTAAATGCAATAAATGGTATCTTGAATAATGCATTATAGACAGCATCTATACACAGTACATCAAATCTGAAATCACCGCTTCCTCGATGGCCGGGCATTCTTCTCGCGCCGCCTCTGTTGGAGCTTGCGTGCTTTGCGAATATCATCAGTCGAGTGAATCTCGCTCTTTCCACCAGCTGCAGCACCACCCGGTTTGCTAAAGTTACGCTCCTTGGCCGCCGCATTTTTCTTCTTCATTTTCTCGAAGTCGTCCCGGAGCGGATCTGCCCGCTTAGGCGCCTGGTCCTTTTGATGCCGGAATCGCCGTCCACCGCCGAAGCCGGATTTGAATCCGTTCGCCATCCCAGGTGTTTCAGCCTCACCTACGCGAGGGATGTGGTCAAGTCGCTTGCCCTTCTTCCATGCTTGGAAGCGGCCGCTCCGGAAGCTGGCAGCGATCTTGGCACCGCTCTCACCTCGGACTAGTCGCTCGCCCTTGGAGCCGTCTTCATCGTTTTGTCGAGCGACGTACTTCTTGTGTCGTTTGTCCCAGCGCATGATGGAGCGTGCCTCGCCGAAGCCCTTGGCACCTTCGTCTCCAGTAAGATCCATAGTTACGTTGCGAGACGCCTGGGTAAAGTTCTGATTTGTGCCCGAGTGAACACCGTAGGCCCGGTCTTCAGCCATGTTGTGGTTGGCAGGCGTATATCCCATAAAGTAGTCAGGGTTTTGGAACGATGTGGCAGACACATCGTTTTTCTTGGTGGTTGGTTGTGAATAGGCGGAGAAGGTGACCTCAAGGTCGGAATCAGATGCCATCGACATGTTGTCACCCGCTTCTTGTGGAACGTCATCGTCCTCTTCGTCAAAGCCGCTTTCCGCAGCCGCATTGGCTTCCCCTGACTCGAGCAACTCGGATTGTTCATTCGCCTGTGCCCGCTTCTTTTTGGCATCCACAGTCTTGCGGATGCGTTTGATTGTATCAATGGAGGCATCGCCTTCGGTTTTACCATTGCGTCGGTTATTGGCCTCGAAAATGGTCTCCTGTGGCCGGTAGCCACCGATCCGGGCAAGCATGTTCTCACGCTCGGCTTCCATCTGGTTCGCTGCATCATTGAATAACGGATGAATTGTGGACCAGTCCTCTGAGGAGACAACCTGCTTGGCTCGCTTGGCACTTTCCAGTGAAGCAGCATTGCGCGTGCGCATGTACAGCTTCTCACCCTTCTGGGCAACTTGTCTCTGGGTAGCAATGTCCGCATCTTCATCTAGAACCTTAGTCACCCATTCACAGCTGCGGGACAACGCATCCCGGGGGACGCATCCCGTGACAACGTCCTCGGCAAAGTTGACCTGATCCCCAAACTGGCGGCCTAGAACCAGTCGTCGGCCAAGGAACAGCTGAAGATCAAGAAGGTACGGCACATCTGCGTCCCGAACCAAACTGTAACTCCATCCCTTCTGGCCAGCTCGAGCCGTACGCCCGACACGGTGAACAAAGATTTTTGGTTGCGACGGGAAATCGTAGTTGATGACATTAGCCAGCACGGGAATGTCGATACCTCTAGCGGCCACGTCTGTGACGACCAAAATATTGGATAAGCCTTGTCTGAAATTCTCAACCTGGATCTTGCGAGCCGTTTGATCCAGGGAACCGTAGGCATAAGACGTTGCGAATCCCGCCTCAATCAGCAAAGCGTATAGGTAGTCGACATGATGCTTGGTCGCGGCGAACACAATTGTCGAATGCTTGGTGGGAGATTCTTTGTAGATGGACTTTTGCTTTTCCGGACGCTTGCGTTTATTGAATCCTTTCCCTTTCTCATTCTCCTCCTGACGGCGTTGGCTTTGCTCTGTAGCACCGGTAGGCATTTGAATGACCTCGTGCAAGATATAGAGCAAAGCACCTTCTTTGTCAGACGTCTTGATCGCAAAGAATGCGTTCTGAAGATCTGGAGAGATTTTGCTCTCAGCATCAAGTCGCACCAAACTTGGCTCCTGTAAGCCTGCACGAGCAAATTCCACCAGCGACTTAGGCAGAGTCGCAGAGAAGAGAAGCGTTTGCCGGGTGTGAGGGAGTCCGTGGAGAATCTCGGTCAACTGCGCAGCGAAGCCCATTTCGAACAGCCGATCAGCTTCATCGAAGACGACATAGCGGATGCTAGACAGATCCAGGTCCATTTCCACTTTCAGATGCAGGAATCGGCCGGGGGTTGCGATGATGATATCAGGGTTGCTAGTCATCATTCCAAACTGTTCCTCCAGACTGTCTCCACCAACGAGAAGGACAGCCCGAAGATCTGTTCCTCGTCCCATCTCCTTGATTACTTTCATGGTCTGCAAGGCCAGTTCTCGCGACGGCGACATAATCAGAGCACGAGCGCCGAACTGGGTGTTGTGGCGCTTTAACTTTTGGACCATGGGAATGACGAACGCGGCAGTCTTGCCAGAACCAGTCCGCGCCATACCGACCACATCCTTGTCGTCCATAATCACGGGGATGGTCTTCCGCTGAATGGGAGTGGGCACAGAGAAGCCTTTGCGGGTAATGGCTTTCAACAGATTGCTGCTCAATCCCATAGCTTGGAAACCGCCACCTTTCTTCACCGTACGGCCTTTGAGGTTCGATCCTTTACGGTTGGCAGATGCCTGCCGACTCGCGATGAAAGCCGCATCGCCGTCGTCGTCATCGTCGGCGCCGAGAAAATCGAGATCCTGAGAGGCAGATGCTGGCTTGTTCTGGTGAGGTCGAATCGGGATCTCATTGTCGGAGTCGTCGTTTTGGAACAGCGCATTCGTGATATCGAATTCGGTCTCCGACGCAGCGGGAGAGGCTGCACGGCGAGGCATTATAGAACGCGCTGCCAAAGCAGGGCAAAAAAAACGTTTGTCAGGTTAAGGTGCAAGTCCCATGGATGTAATGCAGTGACAGAAGCAAAACTCGAACCGCAACAATCTCACTCAAGTCAGTCAAGCGCATGGTCTGCTTGTCAACGGAACCGCAAAAAATCAAAAAAATTGCCGGGCGGTGAATCATGGTCGGACAAATGATGAACCGAGTCCCCACCAATTTTATGCCTCAGGCAGCCAGTCGCGGTTCAGACACGCTCCCCGAAGCAGTAAATTGATTCCTGTTTCGACCCGCCGAGACACAACCGCGCAGACACACACACCATGGGTATGTCCTGACCTGATCTACCATCTATTCTCTGCTAATGACTCATCGTTCGTCCAGACGGGGGCTACAATAATTACAACTCGTACGGCGGTCAGTCCGGCGGCGGCGGCGGATTCATGCCGGGCGAAACGACCAGCCCAGCAGGAGGCAAGGTACGCGTACTTTCGCGTGTGCTGAAGAGAAACGACATATCTAATTTCAAATCTAGAATACTGACCGCGACAACAAGACCATCCGCCCTGTAACAGTCAAGCAAATCCTCGACGCGAGGCAGACATACCCCGAAGCGCCGTTCCAGATCGACAACGCAGACGTGGCCAACGTCCAGTTCGCCGGGCAAGTGCGCAACATCAGCACGCAGAGCACAAATGTGACGTACAAGATCGACGACGGCACGGGCGAGATCGAGGTCAAGCAATGGATCGACTCGCAGACGGCCGATGGCATGGACATGGACGGCGGGGCCAAGGCGCCAGCTAAGAACGAGGTTGAGCTGAACGGGTACGCCAAGGTGTTTGGTAGCATCAAGAACTTCAACAACAAGCGCTATGTCGGCTCGCATGCGGTCCGGCCGCTGACCGATATCAATGAGCTGCACTGCCATCTGCTCGAGGCTACCGCTTGCCACCTCTTCTTCACTCGGGGACCGCCTGGTGGTGCCGGTGGTGCGAACGGTGCAGGCACGGACACGGCGATGGGTGGTGCGGAAGACTACGGCCAGGCCCAGGCTCTGGCGTCGATGTCGCCCGTGGCGAGGAAGGTCTATACCCTGCTCAAGTCGGAATCTGCGGAAGACACCGGCATGCATATGCAGATGATCGCGACCCGACTCGGTTTGCCTGTCACGGATGTGGCCAAGGCCGGAGATGAGCTTATTAGCGCCAGTGTAATCTTCTCGACGACCGATGAGCAGACATGGGCGATTCTCGATTACAACAGCTGATCAGCGTGAAAAAAAATTACATGTGCAGACAGCTCAAATGATATCATGATATGATTTAGACTCTCTTTTCAATAGTCGGGCGTGAAACACCTCGGTGATCTGTAGATATTATTCTTCGACTGTCGTTCCTAATTTGGACGGCATATCTCATATCTAGTGCCAGTGTCGGCAGTCTCCTGTTACAAGGACGGCGCCCCAGCGGGCGGAATTCTTTTGTCCCTTTTATCCCGTACCCCTTGCTCGCCAACTCTGTCTGTTCATCTCTCGATTCCTCTCTCCTGACTGCCATTCATGCATCTCCAGTGTTTTTGACAGAAGATGTAGTATTCACTCGACTCGCGCTGATGCATAGATACACACGAAATGCAAGACAATGCGCCACCCGAAACCATATACAGAATCAAAACTTTTCGGACATCGACCTCATGCCTCACAGGCCGACATCATGCACATGCATACATACATCTAAGTCAATTCGTTCCTCTCGAGAGCTTCTTCGACTGACCGGTCCCAGTTAGCACGACCGATCCAGATGAATTCTATCAACGAGACAAGCCCGAGAGCGAGAGCAACTCCCGTCCACAGACCCATAACGCCCCAGCCCAGCCCAAATGTCGTGCCCATGCTGATCGGCATGGCAATGACATAGTAGCAGAAGAGCTGAATATACCCGCCCACCTCTTGACGGCCGAGGCCGCGGAGAATACCGTTGCAGTTCGCTGCAAGAGCGTCGAAGAGCTGGAACGCAGCACAAAGAGGAAGTACCTCGGCGACCAGATCGACGACTTCGGACTCGGAGCTAAACAGACGCGGGATGTATGATCGAAGCGATGAGAGGAGAATCATGTTGAATAGGCCGACGATCACGGCGCCCCAGAAGCTCACCTTGGCGGATGTCTTTGCGGCATCCACCAGGGTCGCGCCGATCAAATTTGCAACGCGGGTGCTGCCAGCGATCGAGAGCGGGAAAGGGATTTGCCATGTGATGCTGGAGATGGTCGCAAGGACAGACTGGGCCGCGAGTTCGGTGGTTCCGAGATACGAAGACGCCAGCGTCAACACCTCAAAAGCTATACACTCGGCCTCGACCATGATCAGACCCGGAAGCGCGAGGCGGATCATCGGCCCCCAGTTCTGGAATGCTCGACGAGTAAACCCGCACCAGCACTCTGATCCCACGGCGAAGTATACGTATACGAGCAGACACAGCGGGAGGAGAGTCTCGGTGATGACCACTGCAATCGGAGCTCCAACGAAACCCCATCCAAGTTTCTGGAGGGATGAGAGTTAGTATGACCCATCACGATGGCAGAATGGGCAGGCTTACCCAAACAAAAAACCAGTTCATGAAGGCGTTCAGCGGAGCACAGACGATCAAGACGTACAGGGAGGCGGAAAAGACACCCTGCGCCTGAAGATATCGTTTACCACTCTCGAAACAAGCATACCCGGGAGTTCCCAGGAGAGCAATCTTCAGGTACAGACCCGCCATCTTCGCGACTTCTTGTTCCGGGACGATCTTGGTGAGAATATGCTCGGAGAAGTACCAGAGAATTGCCACTGGAATGGTGACCAGCCACAGGAAGTAAATCATTCGCAGCATTTGCAGGCCGACCAGCTTCTTCTTGCCAGAGCCATACGCCTGGGCACAGAGCGTATCCAAGCTCGTCGCCAAGCCCGAATAGACCGCATTGCCCGTGATGCTCACGGTCATACTGGCCAAACTCACCGCGCCGAGCTCTTCCTTCCCGATGTGACCCAGGGTGAAGATACTGGCCACGGTCAGGGAATACTGCAGCAGGAATGTGGCCATCAGCGGCAATGAGTATTTGCCAATGACCTGGGCTTCGCGTTGCCATGTCGTATGAATCATTCCCGCCGCGACGGCCTCTTCCCATTTGCGGTCGATCTCGTTCAGGTTCAGCTGGTCATTGCTCGTGGCCGGTCGGAGCAAGGCCGTGGTCTCCGTCGTCAGGGCTGTCTCAAAATCTGGCTCGGAGGGGTCCGACGAGGGTGTCTTGGACGGGCCTTGCTGGGCAGAGGCTTGGATGCGGGAGAAGAGATCGCTGATCTTGTGCTGCAGGCCATGGGGCTCGGAGATGACATGGTTATCGCTCAGCAGATGGCGTTCTTCCTCGATGGCCTGTTCGCGTTCCCTCTGGCTCAGTGGCTGTTGGTCTCCACTGGCCGGGATCATCGTCCCGTGATTGACTGTAGTGAAATACCCGGGGCGGCGATATGAGCCCGCCAGGGAATATGGATTGGTCCCCGGCTGGCTGCTGCTCAGGCGGGCCACGGGGACGCCATCGGGGCCATCACTGAGGTCCTCGTCGCCATAATCCGCCAGATCCCGGGCAATGGATGCTTCCGCGAGGGGCGAGCTGGAGGTGAATGAGCTTCCGAAGGGGCTCGCGGAGCGGATGTGGCGAGGCGGCATGGTGAGAGAGATGTGGTTTTTTACTGGACCGCCCACATCATCTACAGAGAAGCGTGGCACACCCTGGATATTTGCCGAGGGAGAGAGGAGGGAAAAGAGAGCGCGGTAGAGAGATAAGAAAACCAAGACGGTGGAGCCGAGTGGAGTGCGGGTCTCCCGTGACTTTTACTCCATGATCCCAGGATCAGCATGGCACTCGCTTGACTCCTGTAGTGGTCGCATGTAGTCAGTCTGTATGGTCGAAATGGACCATGACTGGGGATGTCCTCCATCCGGAATCCTTGGATCGCCTAGTAGGAACGACACTGGACGGAGCCATCATCATCATGATCATACAACATGTAGATAATACCAGGAGAAGGGCCCGACCAGACCACAAGCGCCCTACAACCTGCGCCCTACCAGCGGTAGTCCATACTATCTATCCATCCATCCGCACCGCGACTACTCTCCACCGCACCCGATCGATCGCATGCCAGCCTGACATCATCCGCAAGCGGGGGGTCACATGACGGGCGATCCCTTCTCCACGTTTTTGCCCTCTTCTTCCTGCGGTTCCTGTTCTGCGCTCTTAATTCTCCGTCTCAGGGTCTGGGTGGGAATTGTTCCAGTATGCCTGCACCGGTCATACAGCCGCGGCCGGTCGGCCCCCGGTCCTACAATCCGCTGATCGATCCCATCCACGCCAAACCCGTCCTCGTCGAAGAGTAAGTTTCCCGGTGTCAGACCTGCATCTCCGGTCTATGTGAAATCCCTTACTTCCCTTATCTGATGCTCGCCTCTATCTGAAAGTCGATCTCTTTCGACCCTGTGCATACGATGGCGACCCCTCCATGCCACATGTCCCGCCCCCACACTCGCCAGGAATGTTCTCTAACCTTCTCCCCAGGCACATCGAAGATCAAACCCACATCTTCCTCTCCCGCCCCTACCTCGGCGCCCTCCTCTTCGAGAACCAATCCTCGGATGCCCGCGACCACTGCGCCAATGAGCGCACCTTCCTTTCCTGGCTCCGTCTGTCCATGTACCTCGCCGTCGTCGCGCTCGCCATCATCATCTCTTTCCATTTCACCAACGAGCCGACCCGCCTCGAGCGCAATATGGCCCTGCCGCTCGGGATTGTTTTCTGGCTTCTGAGCTTGACGTGTTTGGCGAATGGCTTTGCGAACTATGCGCGCACCGTCATGAAGTATAGTCGCAAGGCCGCCCTGGTGCAGAGTGGTTGGAAGACCCAGGTGGTTTTTACGGTGGTTGGGACGGCCATTTTGGGGAGCTGTATCTTGTTCCTGTCGACGGCTCGTCAGACGTAATGATCCGTGTTTTTTCTTTGGGGGTTTCTCTTCCCATCAGCGGCGGCGTTTGGAAGCATTGCATTGGGATCCTTTCTTCTTCGGGTTCTCTGTACCTATTCGGCAGTATATCCTTAACCATTAACATCTGCGAATAGGATGGGCAGTCACATTGATGTATCTCTGGGCTATACAAATGAAATCAAAACTGAGGTATCAAGGTCCATGTGCGCATAACGGTGATTAGGAGTAGAAGAAGGGACAGCTGACGATCACCCTTTACATCCGACGGATCTCCTTCTCGCCCTTATACTTGTCCAGCGCCGCAGTGCCCAGGTGGCTCCACCACTCGAACAGCATCGAGTTGCAAATGAGCTTGAACCACGGTGTGAACTTCAGCCCGGGCTGCTCGAACATCTTCTTCAGCTCCTCCGCCGACACGTACGTGGTATCCCGGACCTCATTCAGGTTCGGCTCCAGATCGACATCCGCCTGGATGAAGAGGATGTAGTCGATCTCGTGCTCGCCCCACTTGCCATCGCTCGGCGCCTTGTAGTGAATCCGCGTGAAGAACTCGAACTTGTCCAGCGGCACTTGCTCCGGCTTGATGCCCAGCTCGTGGTTCAATTTCCGCTGCGCTGCGTGCTTCACGCCCACCACTGCTGCGTCCAGCTCTGCGCCCGTCTCGCCGGGAATTCCTAGTGGGTGAGAGCAGCATGTATTGGTCCACATATCGGGGAACGTGATCTTCTCCGTGGCACGCTGTTGGAGCAGGAGGCGGTTGTTGGAGTCGAAAAGGAAGACGGAGAATGCTCGGTGCAGGAGACCTTTGTCGATGTTGGTCATCAAGTGGCCTATCGAAGAGTCAATATCAGTTGTATTCTTTTGCGATTTTCTTGTTGGAAGCTCTGAACGACTGCCCCGCTTCCCCGGGTTTTGCGAAAGAGAAGAAAAAAAACTTACAGGTCTTCTTGCTGGCACTGCCAATGGGTCTGTCATTGTTGTCCAAGACAATGCAGACCTCATCCATCAGCCGGACTTGTTCGTCATCGTAGCCCTCCAAATCTCCTGTTGAGCGAGCGGTCTGGTTGGTGGCGGAGGGGAAAACTTCCCGAGCCAGGGAGGTGTCAACCTCGGGGAAGAGAGTGGCCACATTGTCCGCGGTGATCTCCGGTGGAGCGGTCATTGTCATTGTTGCGCTCATTGTGAAGGGTCTATCAGGGGTGGTGCAAAGAATTATTGGGTTGGAAAAAGGACGAACAAACGAAAGTTTC